GTACGCTTTGCGAGTGGATGGCAAGAAAGACACGAAAAAGGCCAAAGGTATCAAGAGTAATGTCATAGCGCGAACGATATCTTTCGATGATTACACACAGTGCTTGCGAGAGGAAATCGAAACGACTCGCCGTCAATCGTGCATAGATCAAAATTGCATGAACACAGTACACAGAACACATGTACACAGTGTCTGAGACGAAAATTGCTCTAAGTCCGTACGATGACAAACGGTATATCGTACCCGATTCGACTAAAACGTTACCATGGGGGCATTATAAAATACCATTATAAATAGAAAATAAATTGTATATTCTATGCGTAAAAGATGGCGGAAACATCTGCATATTAAAAAAAATAAAAAAATTTATTTTGCATATCAAATTTGAGTTGACACAGTTGACCATAAGATTTCCGTGGAGAAGAGATAACCGTCAGGTGCACGTGCGACGGCAATAGGGCGCGTGACACATGATATTATTATTACTAATGAGCACGTTAGACTGTAAGATTCCCAGAAAAAAAAATGTAAGGCAAAGTACTAATACAATGACCATAGAGGTATGCAAACTTTGCACAGCTGTTAGAGTAACCCCCTCCAAAACGAGACACATTTATTAGAAAGAGATTGTAATGGACTATATAAGAGTCAACCCGAAGTCGGAGACAAATATTGTAAGTTGGTTTATGAGCACAAGTACTTATATGTTTGATAAAATGCTGAATGATATGAAATTTCGCAAATATTCAAAGAATGAGGAAGAAGTTATTTTACAACAAAGTCCCCCACGTAAGTTTTTTGTAAAATAGGTTGTACAAAAATTCTGATTTTTTAATTTTTTATAATAATGAATCCAATTTTAAGAATTTGGTTTGAGGAGGATGAAAATGACATCGCCGGCATCGATGAAGAGGAGGAGGAGGATGAGGATAATGATGGTGATGATGATGATGATGATGATGATGATGATGATGATGATGATGATGATGATGATGAACAGTTGACTAATGGTAAGAGAGCACGCAATATTTATTATAATAATAATTTACATCAGATTTAAACATTTTTTACTGTATAGAAGAAACGTTGAAATTTCTGTATAGAAAAGCGTTAAAATTAATCTTTAAATTTGATCAATCTTCAAATTTGATTTCAGAAGAGGAAAACAATATCGAAATCATTGACATCTCCAACAACGATGAGGAGGAGGAGGAGAATAAAATAGAGGAGGAGGAGGATAATGAACAGTTGACCAATGGTAAGAGAGCACGCAACATTTATTATAATAATTTACATCAGATTTAAACATTTTTTACTGTATAGAAGAAACGTTGAAATTTCTGTATAGAAAAGCGTTAAAATTAATCTTTAAATTTGATCAATCTTCAAATTTGATTTCAGAAGAGGAAAACAATATCGAAATCATTGACATCTCCAACAACGATGAGGAGGAGGAGGAGAATAAAATAGAGGAGGAGGAGGATAATGAACAGTTGACCAATGGTAAGAGAGCACGCAACATTTATTATAATAATTTACATCAGATTTAAAAATTTTTTACTATATAGAAAAAACGTTGAAATTTCTGTACAGAAAAGCGTTAAAATTAATCATTAAATTTCATCAATCTTCAAATTTTATTTCAGAAGAGGAAAACAATATCGAAAACATTGACATCTCCGACAACGATGAGGGGGAGGATGATAAAACAATCATTATCGATGATGGCGACAATAATATTGAAATCATCGACATCTCCAACAACGATGTGGCGGAGGAGGGTGACATCATTGTCATTAATTTAAATTGAAATTTATTGATAAAATATTTAGTTATAAAAATATAATAATAATAAAATATTCATAATATATATATATATATATATATATATATATATATATATAAAATGTAGAAAACATTATAATAAACAGTTATATTTTACAACAAAGTATCCTTGTGTATCCATGAGCGAATTGTTGAATCCCAGCCATTTTACATAAACCTTATCACCTTTTCTGCGCAACACTTTTTCCACCAAGTATACGTTTGGATTGGCAACACGATGCAGTTCGTAATCGAAGAAACCTCCGACTATAGGTTCCGCGAGAATCTTTGAGCAGATAAGTCACAGAATTGGTCGCCTGCACCTTGACGATTTTAAACACCTCAGTAGTCCAATTGGGCGTGTAGCCTTTAACAAAGACAGTCTTGAACTTGCTCACGCGCACCGGATCGCCCACTTTACATGTCGCCGGAGCTGCAAACTTTACGTTGTTGTAGACCGTATCGAGAAGTTTTTTAGCGATCGTAGGGGTCACATCGGCAGGACGCATATCGATGGTCCGGTGCTTGCGCCCGTTGTACTGCGACACGAGATGCGGTAGCGAGTCGATCCATCTGTAGGTTCCTTGTAATGTAAACATTTTCCACATGTCATTCTTCAGCGTACGATTGAATCGTTTCACGACGGAAGCCTTCATAACCGAGTACGTCGAATAATGATTGATGTTGTGTTTCTTCGTGAGTCTCTGCACATCGGCATTGTAAAATTCCTTCCCCTGGTCTGTTTGCAAATTTGTTGGACATCCTCCGCTGTCTCGAATTATCTTGCCGAACGCCTCGACCACCTCCTTTCCGCTCTTAGTCTTTAGCGGCATGGCCCAAGCATGCTTGCTCAGCACATCGATAACGGTGAGTATGTAGTGGTAGCCACTGTTGAGCCGCGAATGCGGACGCACCTCCACTACATCGGCCTGCCACAGATCATCGTATCCGCGCACAATCACGCGTCTACGAGAAAAATGCCTTCTCGCAGGAGCATGCAATTCCTCCACCAACTTTTCGGGGCTGTGTTGTTTCCCCTCTTCACCAGTTTTCCGCATGTTTGATCGCTAAGATCACCTCATCACGAATGACGAAACTGCGAGCTCATCGTTTTAAATTCCATCTATTCAACGCGTCCTCGCGCTGCAAACATTTTCTCCCACATGGCATGTGTTTCAGCATGAAGTCTGATCAGGTTTTACTCAAATTTACTCCTGTTTCTTTTCAAATTCTTGCTGTTTCTCTCTCAATGCAGCGAGACCTCTTCCCACATATAGTCTATTGACCGCATCACTGGCGGCTTCTGGTTGCGCTACGCGTCGTATCTTACGCGATCTCGCATCGAAGTCGGAGGCGATCATGCACAGAGAGTTATCGCGTACGAAATTTCTGAGTATTCCCCTCCACGTGTAATAGTCTATCGTCGGCGGTTCTCTCTTTTGGAGCGAAAAACCAAATTTATTGATCGACATTTCGATGCGAACAACGCGTATCATCGATGTGCGATTCAATTTATAACAAGGCCCGCCTCGCGAAGTTTCTCGATAATGAATAGAATTTCATTGTCGTGAGCGTTATTGCAA